ATATTTCATCAGTTTGTTGCTCTCACGTTTCGGGCAGGGGGGAGGGGCTAAGATTTTGGGTTTTTTTTGTTCCCAGGCTTCAATCAACGCAATTTTTTGCAAAAGCATCCTTATTTGACATCCTTAGTTGAAGCTCAAACACATTTTAAAGTATCATAAATATACTTAATAAAAATTTTAAAGTATTTTCAGACAGGAGGATTTAGGAGGTTTTTTTTAATTAACTAAAGAAAGTAAAAATTTGCACTCAAAAAATATACAAAAATACATCAACTTCAAAGTTAAATAAAAATTCTTACTTATAAGCAAAAATATAAATTTATCAGTATATAAAAAAATAATAGCGCATATATTTTAATTCATAAAAAAATTTACAATTTATGTGGAGCAACTTATATTTTTATTAATTTTTGTTTTAAAATTTATAAATCGCAAAAAAAATTTCATCTTCAACAGGTCGTATAAACTTTAATTTAAAAGCTAATGACAAATATCATTTTATTAAAGCTTTATAAGTATGGAAAACAAATATTACCATTAAACCTACATTAAACACAATTTTTTTATTTAATTTTGGCGCACTTTGACTCACTGTGAGCCGCATTAAATATTCATCACCTGTTAGGATTTCTCCGTGTTGAAACCTGATGGCTCTAACCAACCTACCATCCTCAGAAGTTTGCGCAAATCTAGGCTGCAGTTCTTTAAGAAAAAAATCTTCATTAAAAGACTTTTCTGAAAATGATCTAGACGATGGCTTCTGTGGTCTTTCTGCAGGTGCTGAAAATAAAGGTGATGATTGTGTTGATGATGTTGCAGATTACTATGATGTTGACAGTAATGCACGTAGCAGTGATGTTGAGGCAGAAGCATTGTGAGCATTTGTGTTGAAAAGTACTTTTAATAGTGCTTGGATACCTTCTTAGCAGGCATCTGCTTACACATGACAGAACTGTAGGCATTTGTCATTGTCTGGCTAGTTGCTTAGATTCTCCTACTTTCTTTCTTATTCTTTTTGTATGCTCGAACCATTTTGCTAAATAAAGGGGTGTAATAAGTTCCATTATCAAAACTATATTTAGAGAAAAATTCAAACTATTTCTCCAAATAAATATTTTCTTTTAAATTTTAACTAAATCTTTGAATTTTATTTATCTGATCAATTTTATTTGATTGTTGTCATCTTTTTAAACAGTTGGCATTAACAGGGGGCATGAAGCACCTGCTAATTAAAACATTTATTTTAATAAACTAAATAAACTAATTAATATTCAATAGAATCATATTTCTCTTAGAAATGCTATCCATTTCAAATCTTTAACAGAAATTTAGTATTAAAGTGAATTTTAGAGCTATTTATAAACAATCTATTAGGCATTCATCTAATTGCCATTTTATTTTGCTAAAACTTTTACCTTCATTTGGTTTACAAAAATCAGTATTTTAATTCATTGATAACATGCACAGATACTTAGTTTATATGTATTTGTATTTGTACGGAAAATATAAAAGTTTCAATGTAGAAAAATTTTTTAAATCAAACCAAACAAGCTTTTTTTTAAATTTTTTTATTAAGTTATCCATTAAGCACAGGCTTTTATTAAAATTTCTTTAAGTTCGCAGGAAACTGGAAACTGGCTCGAAAAACCACTCATCAACAAATTCTAATTAAAAATCATTGCTGTTGGTTAGAAACCCCAGAATGGTTATAAAAATTCCCCTTATTGTTTAGTTAGTCTCTATCATGTAGAACGTAATGGCCATCTCTTTTAATACAATAGCACAAGACATTTTTTTAAATGAACAGAGGAAATGAGGCTTAACGTCTCATGGGGCCTAACATCTCCTGTTACACTAACGTGTTCTAAATTCAATTTTTGGTGTCCCTTGTGATAAATGATAAAATTTTCTATACATTTTAGTAATACCACAATCCGTTTAATTCGTATATCGAACTTCCATAAAATAAATTAAGCCAAATTGGATTTTTTTCTATATAAGCCGGAGTATCAGCAACTACGATATAAAAATATTTTTGTCGTATGCAGGCTAATATAAAACAAATTTCATTAAGTTTCTTCACTCGTTATTTCTGTAACGTTGTCTAATTTGTCCATCATTTCTTCGATCGATTTATATTTTTTCTTTTCTAAATTATAACCCGGAGTATCAACGACTACGATATAAAAATATTTTTGTCGTATGCAGGCTAATATAAAACAAATTTTATAAAGTTCTTCACTCGTTATTTTTGTAACGTTGTCTAACTTGTCCATCATTTCTTCGATCGATTTATGTTTTCTTTTTTCTGAATTATTTAAAGCGTTTTTACACATTTCTTTCATATCACAACAAATCTCGATCTTTTTTATAACGATTAACCCTTTCGTCGATTAAAAAAAACCAAAATCCAAAAAAACAAAAAAAAAATCCTTTAAATATTGTTTCAAACGCTTTGGTTAAAATTAAATGTCACAAAACAAATAATAATTCCTAGTTATAATAATTATAACAATAATAATAATAACAATAACAGTTGGTAATAATAACAACGATAATGATAGCAATAATATTAATAGTAATAATAACAATAACAATAATAATAATAACAATAACAGTTTGAAACAGGCTTTAAAATTTGGTATATTCGAGGCTTTAAAAATTTGGTATATTCGAGTTCCAACGTTGTTTTTAACGAACGATAAAGTTCCGGATATGATTGCCATGAGAATCGTAAGTTCCACCGTTATCGATAAGTTTGTCTAGTTTATAGGTTCCACTCGGCTCGTGATGGTTTATTTTTTTTGTCTCCATGCGTTTAATATCTAAACATGATAAAATTTTCAATTTATATATTTTTCACGATTCATTAACTAGGAATATCATGAATCAGGTTTTTTTTGATTATTTTTTAACAAAAGATTTTTTTAAAAAAAGGTTATTAAAAGATTTTAAAGATTATTAGGATTAAGGCTAAGTGATGTATGATCAGGATAAGTGATGTATGTTTTGCGTTGTTGGTAAGAATAAAAAAGTTAGATTACCCTTGTCAAATTCGTGGTTGCTTATTTTGAATTCCTCAACCACCTTAAAACAAAAGGTTGAAAAGTGCAACGTTTAAGCAATTATTTTTTTTGAAGAAGAAGAAAGGCTTTTTAAAAATAGATGTTTATGCTATAATAGATTATATTATGCGGCCCCATAATATAATAGATTATTTTATGTGGCCGTGGCGTAATGGTTAGAGCGCTTGCTTAATAAGCAGGGGATCCAGGTTCGAGCTCTGGACATATTTTCGTGTCGGCAAGGAAGGAGGCGTGAACTACCTAGTTATATGCATTTCTACGGTGCTCTATGACAAAACCGTCAGGTCTTCTTGGGGCACCTAAAAATAAAATTAAAAAAATATATATATTTCTCGCGACACATTTTTTAGTTAGTTATCAGAAATGTTTTTTCATTGCTTTAAAAACTATGTTTGAAAACTTGTGAATTATGTTTACAATAATTCTTCAAGTCATGCCATTGTTTGAGATCATTTACCCTCCAGTAAAAAAAATAAAGAAAATACATTATCAATAATTAATTGATTATTTTATTAAGGAGAGTAGAGTTAGTCTTGAACACCCGTTAGAGATAAATACCCACTTTAATCCTCATTTGCATACTACGCTAGTTAACCTGATGTAACTTTTTTACAAAAGTCCTTTTCAAAAAAACTTAACTCATACTCAATTTGAAGCACTTGATTTATAAAGAACGGCTAAACTGCCTCGGTATTACCACTCTCGATTGCCGAAGGTTAGAGTAGACTTTACTGAACAATTTAAAATTGAAAAAGATTATGATGTAATAAAGTTCTTCATGGCTCAGACTCTCTCGATTGCCATGACAAAGTATAACATGAGAAGCCATAGTCATCAACTCACCAAAAAGCAAACTATTCGTTGTGAAAGTTTATAAAAAGAAAGATTAGTCAGATTATGGAATGCTCTCCCGCAAAAATTTTTTGATGCAAAAAACGTGAATAAGTTAATAATAAATAATAAATAAAGACTTTTTAAAATCATTGAATTGATGCATCGAGGCATCATGAAGCTGTCATAACATAGAAGCCTGGTGTTGCTTCTCTTAATTGAATAATGTAATTTTTATTTGATAATGAAATAAATAATTTTAAACTCGCTACTTTTTTTCAGACAAATAAGTCTGAAAATGATATTTATTAAACTTATTACATAAGATACTATCATGTCGAAATCCCATTAATTGTAGTTACTAAAATTTAGGCTAACTATAGCCTTAATGCACATTAGATTTATATATTTCATGTTTAATAGAATTCCAAAAGAGTTTTTTTCTTAAAAAAATAGTCACTAAAAACTAGAAACACATTTACAAATGGCACTAGTTTTTTATTTAAATAAAAATATCAAGCAAAATAGAACAAAGTTATACATAAAATTAGATTCTATATGGACACATAAAAATATTTTTAAATAATTATTTAAAAAAAAGGACTAAATTTTGAAACTTATTATAATAAATATGATTTTTAATTTTTTTATTATAAGAAGAACCTCTCTCAAAGTTACTACTACGCATTAGTTAAAAGCGCACGAATATAATGCGTCGATCGGCTGGAAAGGAATCACCTAAATCACTAAAAAGAACAACAATTTTCATGAAATGATTTATATCCCACGTGGATATTTCAAGAAGCTCAACATTAAACAAATATACTCTCAAAATTTTAGATAAATATATTCCAAAAAAATGCTACTAGTATCTTAATATAAATAAATTAATATAATTTAATAAAGATTTTGTTTTAAATAATGTCCATTAAATTTACATATAAGTTGTTATATAATACCTTTTTTTGACAATTCGTCATTTGATAAATTGTAAAAGTGACCAAAAATAAATTTAAATTGTTGTTTATTTACTTTCTCCAATTTTTATTTGTTATTACTATTGATTTCAAAGTTTAGTGTGAAATATATATAGATTTTTTTTACTAGCAAATAGAAAATGCTTTACCAGAGAATTTATAGCGTCTATTTTACTGCTCACAATGCAGAAGAAATAAGAAAACTTGCTATAAAAAAGATTGATAATCCTGAGACATTTGATTTATTGCGCCATCCTAACAAAGGAGGTTTGTATGATTTAGCCTTGGGTCCAAACGAAAAAGATGATATCTGTGATACTTGTTCTCTGGGTCATATAAAATGTCCTGGACATTTTGGTTACATAGAACTTCCATTACCAGTATATCATCCAATGTTTTTCAAACTAATGATAAGTATTCTAAGAGGATCTTGTTTCAATTGTCATAGACTCGTTCAAAAAAGTTGTCAATTGAAGCTTTTTATCAGGTACTCATATTTAAACTTAAAATTTAATTTAAAATTTATAGTTTATTATAAATTTATAACTAGTTGCAAAATTTATTTAGATAGAGAGAATTAAAGTTGATTCAATCATATTAGGAGTTTTTCTATTTTTTTTTCCTTTCAACTATTAATCTTTTATAGTGGTAGTGAGCAGCGGTAGTGCTCACTACCACTATAAAAGCCAAGTTTGATCTACATGCCCATGATAATACTACGCTTAGCTTGTTTTTCCTTTGCAAAAATATATGTATTAGTTGCCACTTTGAGTGTAATGACAAATGGCTAATACCTTTAGCGTGAGCATAAAATTAAACATAAATAAGCAGCTGTAGCACAGTGTTTAGTTTATATGTAGATTAACAGTTTTAGACTTTTTTTTTTACAGAAGTAGATCCATATGGTTTTTCCAGACAAAGAAGAAAAAAACAAAAATATCAATAAAATTATTGCTTCGCTAACTCAAACCCTTAGTCCATGTTCTCCCTATAAAGTCAGTTGGAAATTTTTTTCCAACTAACAATATAGGGAGAGCATTTTATATAAGGTCATGGAATCCATTATAAAAGCCTGCTCATTTAACTTTTTGGATGGTGAAAAGTTATTGAACCAGAATCAACATTTTTTAAAACATAAATCATGCATAATCAGTTTATTAGAATCTATAAACTAAATTATATATTTTTTTATCCCAAAATTTGTCTATGGATATTATTTATTTAGATTTTTCTTAGGCCATTAATTCAGTACCACATCATACATTATTGTTAAAATTAGCAGCATACGATATAAATTGCAAAATTATTGAAGTGGATTGCAGATTTTTTATAATCATGTAAACAGTGAGTTTGCATGGATGATTTTATATCAATTTGAATGATGGTTTTGAGTGGTTTTCCATAAGGTTACATGATTGGTCCGATTATATTTATTGTTTTCATTAATGATTTGAATGAGATTATCTCAAAATTTCAAAAATTTATGTCAATGATTTAATGATAATAGTAAATAGTTTGATAAAATGTGTATCATTACAAGATAATATTAACCTTATTTTAAAGTGGTGTAAAAACTGGGTAATCTTGTTAAATGTCAATAAATGCAAGGTTATGCATATCAGCAAACAGAATTTGTTATACAATTATCATATATATACCATAGATGGCACACAGTTAGTCTTAGAATCATCAAATTAAGAAAGAAATTTTAGCATCACAATAAGAAATGATTTGAAATGGAAAACACAAATGTTAAACATGTGTAATAAAGCAAATAGCATAATTGGTCTGATAAAAAGAACATTTATTGTAATTAACACTCAAATGAATGAAGTTTTGTATAAATTGCATATACAACCACATTTAGAATATACAAATGATATATGTAGTATGGTGTCTGCATATAAAGGGAGATATTGGTGTGAAAAATTCAACGCAAAATAACAATAAGTCTCTTCAGACATTAAATATTTGAATTTAACCAATTTGGATATATGGTTAATTATAATTAATGAACTTGGGAATTGTACACATAGACAAGGGCATTAGTCAAATATTGAACTAGTAACAAATTGTCAAGCCAGATTCAAGTTTTTTTTTTACAAAAAAAAGTGGCAAAATTGTGAAATGCTTTAAAAAATGAAGATAACAATTAACTCATTAAAACTATTTATTGCCCAGATATGATTTTTAACAGCAACATTCACTTTGGTATTAGTAACAGCAATGTTCACAATTAAATGCTTATTTATTATTGGGTAGTTATCCTCCTAAAACTATGGTTTCAATTATATTGTTATATTTGTAGCAACAGCTGAAAATATAATCATATAAATGGTGCTAAGTTTCAGAAAATGTTGTTTTTTTAATAATGGTTATTAATGCATAAAGTATTTTAAAATGTTAAAAAGGTTTGAACTGTAAATTTTTTAGTTAATTTTTTATGTTAATAATTTTTATTTTATAAACAAGTGCAATGATGCGCAAAAAGTAAATAACCAGAGAAAAAATAGTATTACTCAACACTAAACCCTGTTGTTATTTATTACATATACAAAGATTTAAAAAAGTATCTGCAAAATCAAGTATTTTAAAAATTGAATTTGAAGTTCTATTTTGTTTTGTTTATTTTTGTTTAAGATCATGCATAAGTTAGTAATATTTAAAATTTAAACTTGATAATTTTGTTGGTCAAAATAATTTTTTATTTTTATTGCAAAGTTTTCCTGTTTAGTTTATCTGTATGTTTTAACTAAATGTTATATTTTCTTGTGTTTTGTTTACTATGAGATCACCAATTGATTTGATTTGTAGCCCTTTATTTAAAATCTAGTAACACTAGATTTTAATCAAAGGGTATTATTGTATACAAATACTAGTTAACTGTTAAGTTTAGATTCTGGATTTCAAAATCACCTTGAAAATAAAATATAAAAAAATGGAACACAAAATACAAGAAAGATAAGGAGAAATACAATAACTATTGGAAACAAATTTTTTATCAGAATCTAACAATCTAAATATTTTAGTTTTTTTTTTTTTGAGAGTAACCAATTAGAGAATTGACTTCAAGATTTAAAGCACTGGATTTAATAATAGTTTTAATACTGTTGATAACAGCCCTTTTATTTTATCTACAATGATTGAAAAAGTTGTCTGAAATCTGAAAATTTACCAAAAACTTCTATCAGCAAGTTATACTCTCTACTTTAACCTTAAGAGGTGTTTTATTAAAGATCAAAGAAAAGTATAACTACATGTGTTCAGAGTATGGTGATGTATGTCAGTAAAACATGAGCAATGAAAGTGGATGATGTCCTGCATATGGAAAAAACAAAGATTAAGATAATAAGATAGGTCTGTAGTGTAATTCTAAAGGATAAGAATAGAAGAGGATATTGAAGATGAAGCAATACAGTTTGTAAAAAAGTTAACATTATGCATAAGGAGTAGAGTTAAAAACAGCCTAAACCTTTTAATTTATTTTTTCTAGTATCTATAGATATCAGTGGAATCTGGGCTAGACTCAAATTTTTATATCTCTGCTAGCTTGCCTCTAGTTACTGAATTGTGTTTCATAATTAGTGACAGTGTTGTCTGCGCATTAACTGGTAGATCTTTCTCAGTGGTAAAGTTTTGACGACAGGTTTCAAATAAAAATAACACTTGTTATACCCACAAAATAAATGTGGATTGCAGTTGTAATAAAATTGACATTTAAAATGAAATCGTTAATGAGATTTTAAGTTCTTTTTTCTGTTCAGTTTTTGTGGACAGGATAAAACAAAAACATTCAGGTGCCATTAAAAAGCAAGTTTTTGTTGCTTTGAGGAAAGAAAAAAAAGATGTTTTGTTTGTAAAGCTTGTATTGTGATCTTGCCATTCTTAATGCTAATCTGATATTAAAGAGGTTAAAATCTCCAATATACATTTAAACTCTGTGCTTTGATATATTGCATGAACCTTGCTGTTTTTAGTTTTTAAAGCAAAGTCAGATGACATGGACTTTAATTAAGTGGCTCAAAAAAATCTAGTCCTTTTTTACTTAAAGACTTTTTGTCTCAAACGGGTGATGCGTAAGTTATCGGACAAAATAAAAAAGTCAATAACTTAATTATAAATGAAAAAAAAACTATTATTATATTTTTTAAAAATAAAGCATTTATCTTTTAAAAAAAATTTAAAAAAATTATTTTTTAAATGGAAAAACACCACTATCTGCAGTTGATCTCAATTTTGCTCAAACGCCTTTTATAAGCGACGGTAAAAAATTTAAATCGATTTCTTGTAGTTTTAATTTAATTTGATCAATTAAAACTTGCTTTGTTGAAGCTTGCCAATCTCCCTCGTAAACCTTCTGTGTCAAATGTCCCCTGAAGTTTTCAATTGGTTGTGATTGAAGCGAATATGGGGGATTTGATTCTTTATCAAGGTAATAGACTTAGAGAATCTTTAAAATTTAGAGAATCTTTAGAATAATGAGAATTTGCTAAATCTGGCAAAAATAAATAATTAAAGTCTCCATGATACTTGCGAATGAATGAAAGAAGTGGTTTTTTTAAATATTCATCAATATAGATTGATAAATTAATTGCTACAACCTTGGAAGTGCGAAACAAGGATTGAACATTTTCAAGTCTTTTTAGGTTAAATTTGGTATTTAAAATTTTTTTTTTACGAACTAATATTAACAGTAACTAAGACAACTAAAGATATCAAATATAAAAAAACTAATAATAATATAATAATATCTATACTATATTAATAATATATACTAATAATAATATAACTACTGTTAACTGCTACCAATAATAATATTGTTAACAAAGATACTAAAACAAAATAAATAAAAATAAGTCAATAATAAATAAGTTTATAAAAATATAATATTAAAAATATATGTAATAAATAAAATAACTAGGTATCAAACAAGGACTAAAAATAAATAAAATTAACTATAAAAAAATAATATAATGTGAGAAAACAAATAATAATATAATGACTGAAAAATAATAAAAAATAAACTAATTAATTATAATTATGATTACCAATCTTCTAGTTCTATATTTGCTTTTTTTTTTTTTTTTAATTGATTATTTAATTCTTATCTTTTCTTTTCTTTTTATTTGTTTACTTTACTTTTGTTCTTTTGTTTACCTTTTTTTGTTTTTTTTTTTGTTTTTTTTTGTTTATGTTTTTGAAGTGTTCCTTCTTTTTTTTTTTTAAATTCGAAGTTCTTTTTTTTTTTTAATATATTTTTTTACTTTTTGAATGATTTTTTGTGCGCGTGTTTGCTTCAAATTAATTTATATGATCGTTGATGAGTTATTTGTGGTTATAAAAAATTCATTGGAAGAATTTTGCGATAGTCGATCATTAATGGAGAGAGGGATCTGTATAAGGACTTGGGGTGGGTGGTTTGATTCAGTGTGGATGTAGAGTAGTTGGTCATTTTGTTTTTTAAAAGTTTGGTAGGAGTTTTTTTGA